CCGCTTCAGCTCGGGGCCGTATCCTTTCCTCAAAGGATTCCTCAACAACAACCCCTCTTCCTTTACCCTCGATTGATGTCCAATTTTAAGCAACCAAAAACTCGAATTCTCCAAAAATTTCTTCCTCCGTTTACTGGGTTTCTCTCCATCTCCATTCTTCGTTTTTCTTCTTTTTTTTTAAAGCCTAATCAGGCTCTAATACGCTTCCACCTCCCCTAATCACCCACTCATCCCTCTCACGCCTCCAGCTACGCGTCCACCGCCCCTCTTCCTCCTTTACAGCAGCTGCTTNTCGATTTTTTTTTTTTTTTTAATTAATTAATTAATTAATTTATTTATTATTATTATTATTATTATTATTATTATTAAACACACAACACATACACACAAAATACATTTATAATTATTTTGGGTTATTACACAAGGCCTCCAAATAAGTCTCCATACGAACTGCCCACATTTGATAATTGTCTCCATCGAAGACTGGTGGTGTAACAGCTGAAAAACTTGATTCTCCCATTTTGATCTCACAGATCCCTTAAGAAGATAGCTCTGATACCAATTGTTAGTGAGAGAGGGATTTATTGAATGGTAGATGAGATGATTAAATTTTGAAGAGCAAGAATGCTCTATATATACACAGAGAATAGAAAAAGATATCTAGAAAATCTACCTAAAAATCTGTAGAAAATCTGTTAACAAACCAGTAAACAAATCAAAATAAAATCTAATCAAATAAAAAACTAAATTAAATAAAAAAATAGATCTAACTCCTAACGGAGATTTAATTAGATACTAACTGACAGCAATCTAAACAAATACATGATCTTTAACAGTGCCTAATTGGAGAAAATAAGTTTGGGTTCAAATTGGGGGTAAGGATCGAATTCCCATGTACAATCAATTTTTCTTAAAATTAAGCACTCCTTTAGCTTCAGAGGATTAAGTTGAGTACCTTTGACAAAGAAATCGAAAGCTAACACGCCCTAGAATGAGCTGACCAAGAAGAAGGAAAAATGAGTTTTTAGAGGAGTTGGAGACCGAGAAGAAATTCTCAAAATTAAGGTCACAAACTTAAAGATGTTCCTCTAAATCAATTCCTGTAGCTTGAGGGAAGAATAAGGAAGAAATTTTATGAAGAAATCGAGCCTAGAAAACCTCTAGAAACAGTTGCACAATTGAAAATTTCTTAGTTGAACTCCAGCAAGAAACCAAGTTTCTAACGGAATTTGGATGTGAATAACTTATGCTACGATCCACGAGGAAAAAAAAAAAAAAAGACAACCTAAGGATTCTGTCAAAGAAAACTTGAGGTAATTGGGATACTAGAAGCTTGAGAACGGAGGTCCCGAGTCGACAACGAGGTAAGTAGCGATCTTGAACTTTTCTTACGAAATACTTGTAGGAATCACTTGAATTTCTGTAAGCATCTTAAACTAAGTATGAATAAAGGAAACATGAAAGAAAAATATTAAGTATCGTGAGATAAGGCCATGAACCGATCAAATTGCTTGAGATTTAAGTAATATTAAGATAACTCACTAAATGAATTTCGTTGCCTATGAAACTTTAATTTTGAGCATATTATGTGATGTTAATATTATATATGTAATTTGGTATTCATTAGACAAGGTTAAGTACGTAAACCAAGTAATGGTGTAAAATGATCATAATGCCCCTAATGTAACTTATCTTGGGTTCATGCTCTAAATGACCTCCAAATGCTATGAAACTTTTTAGACTGCCTTATTTTATGATGATTGATGACTTGTTAAAGTTTGAAAGTTGCGGAAAGAATTAGGGATAAAATGACCAAAATGCCCCTAAGAATCCTTATGATAATTCGAGGTCTAAGCATGCTCCAAATGACCTACCACCCTTTATTAGGCCTATTCTAAAGTACATAAAGTTATGTTCACGATTTCAATTTGATTAGAACAAGTGTGAAACCTAAACCAAGTTGGGGCCTAAGAAACGTTTAAAGGGAATATCTCGTGTAATTCTTCCCAAGGAGACACGTTGGGGCGATGAAGCCCTTGTTCAAAAATTCTAAAACTATACCTTGTATTCTTTCAATTATGTTGGTGCATGCGGTATGGGGCCTTAGAGATAGGATTAGTACTCAGTTCGAGCTCTATAAAGAAGTCAACACTTCGGGAAGACCTAGTAAATTCTCTAGAAATATATCAGAGAACTCTTCCACAATTGGTATTACTAACCATGAATCTTTTTCCCGTTTTGTATCCACAGTACTGGCCAATATGCCTCAAGATCCTTATTGGATTAATCTCTTTGCTTTCATCATTGATACAATCCTGGGACAGTCCCCATACAAGTACCCTTGAACTTGTAGCTGGTTTGTGACGGTGGCGAAAACACTACCTCTTTTCTATGCTAGTCTATACTAGTATTGTACTCAACTAACCAATCTATCCTGAGTGTTACATCAACATCACTCATGTCTACAACTAATTAAATTACATTTTGGGTCTTCCTTGAAATTGACACTGGCCCACCTTCACTTTATCCCTAGCAATTTAATCTACCCATGTCGGGTACACACATATAAGACATGCGAAAAGGGATCTAATTCAAATTCAACTTGACTAATAAACCTTACAGATATGAAATAATGGGTAGATTTCGAATCAAGCAATGTTAGGACAAGGTGCTCAAGAATAGACAGGATACTTGTCACCACGGCATCCATGTTTCCAGCGTCCCTACTTGTGGAGGCATAAACTCTAGCTTGGGGTGGATTTGCATAGTCCTCCCTACACTTTTTGGACCTCTTGGCTGGTAAACAAGGTTCTCAGTGCATCTCTCCAAGTAGTTCATGGTGATGTGAACCTTTTGGTTGCACCTAAAGCACGGTTGACCACTTGTGAACATATTTAGAAATTGTGTAAAAATTTACAAAAATAAGTACAAATATACACTATCGTAATAAGTAAATTATTGATTATACAATAAATTCGAATGAATTCTTTACTCGATCAATTGGGAATTGCAAGCAAAGTATACAAACATCAATAATGGGTGGTGAAGTTTTTCCCAAGCAAAGTATACAAACATCAATAATGGGTGGTGAAGTTTTTTAATGACTATGGAAACTTTAATGAAATATAAACTATAGTTTCAACAATAAGCTAAAGCAGAACAAGTCGTTATGTACAATCGTTAAACCATTTCGCTTACCTGTTGAGAGCATTTGAAAGCAGAGGAGAAGGCGGCAACAAACGGTTTTCTTCATTAGAGTAAAACGCTAGAGAGATCGAGGGAACAACTCAACGTTCAACGGAGGTCGAGAAACGTAGTGTGAGAAACGAACAATGACTCCAAGTATTTCAGTGGTAAGCTTCATCGTGTTTAATGACTGTTTAACCGTTTAAAATGTCGCCGACAAGGATGGGGGTTATAGAGAAATTGTAACATTAGAAAACTCATAGTTGTAGGTGCATAAGGGTACTACAACGTTGTGATTGTGAAGAAAAGGTTGACAAAAACTCGAGGGAGTTGAATTTAGACATAGGAACAACAAGAAAACAAAAATTGTCTCCATGTGATCACTCCCCCATTAATGCTAAGGATCTTATGAGTAGATTCCCACCATAACTCTATATTGCCATGTAGCATAAACGAATAGATAATATCTTCTGATCGTCAAGGAAGTTTATCAACCGAAAAATTGTCTTCATCAATGATAACCATAGTTGTGCAACTATCGAATCCTCCAAGGTCTTGTTAAAGATAGGGGGCTCGTACCTCCATACCAGGTACCTTGCCTCTTGAGTTGACGTCCTAATGTTTGCCTGATGGGTGATCACCAATGTTTGCATCGCTGCCTAAAATGAGCATACCAAGGCCCTTGTAGGCTCTAGTCTAGCTCGAGACACCACCAGGGGTGGCGCTACTATGTGATTCGAATCACCAATCCCTTGCATATCATAATCTTCCTCCCAAAAATATCTTTGTAAATATAACATCATGCATGTTGACCACTTGCTATAGTTGTTGGGATATAGAGTCTAATGCCTATTTATACTAAAATGTAGATATTTATATATAGTAGGTGTTATATCTGTTAAACCTATATATAGTAAATCGAAACAATAATATACCCCTTATACAGCACTTTGAGGATGTATTTTCATGATTCTATATATTGTCTCTTAGTGTACATACCTAAAGTCATAAATACAAATCCTTCAGCTAGTATTTTTTCTTACATTTTCTCTCTCCTATTCTTTGTGTTCATTTAGATTGAGTGTGTATGTTGTTGTGCGATACTAACAACTAGTATCAGAGCTAGGCGAGATTCACCATGCTCTAAGAGATGAAAATTTCAAAGATTGGAATTGAGAAATTTGATGGATTCGATTTCGGTTTCTAGGAAATGCAGATTGAAGATTATCTGTACCAGAAAAATATTCACGAACCCCTATTGGAGGTTAAGCTGGATACTATGACCACGGAACAATGGAAGCTCAAGGATCAACAGGTCTTAGGGTTGATCCTGGTGACGCTGTCCAGAAACGTGGCGTTCAACATTATCAAAGAGAAGACAACGTTAGGTATGTTGAAGGCGTTGTCGAATTTCTATGAAAAACCATCGACTATAAACAAGGTGTATTTGATGCAGAGATTGTTCAATCTACAAATGTCTGAAGGTGGATCTGTTGCTAATCATATAAATGAATTCAATATGATTGTAAGAAAACCGAGTTCGGTGGAAATTAATTTTGAAGATGAAATTAAAGCATTGATTTTGATGTCATCTTTACCCGAGTCATGGGATACTGTTATTGCCGCGACTAGTAGTTTCCAAGGATCTGAGAAACTCAAGTTCAATGAAATCCAAGATATAGTTATTAGTGAGAGTATTCCCAAACGAGAAATTGAGGATTCATCTGGTAGAGATCCTAGTGTTGACCAAAGGGGAAAAAGTAAATCGAAGGGTCCAAACAAATGCCGATCAAAATAAAAAAAAAACCGTAAAAATTTTCCAAATAGACCAAACATGACGTGTTGAAGTTGTGGAAAAAATGGTCACTTTCAGACAGATTGTACAAGACCAAAGAGGAAGCAAAATCACAAGTTAGAGGATGACGATGATTCTATAAATTCAGCAGAAGATATTGAGGATGCTCTAATCCTTAGTGTGGACAATCCGATTGAATCCTAGATTTTGGAATCAGGTGTATCTTTTCATTCGTCTCCAAATAAAGAGTTGTTTTAGAATTTCAAGTCTGAAAATTTCGAGATGACATACCTTGCCGACAACAAAATCTTGAATATTGAAGGAAAATGGTATGTCTATATAAAAACTCAGGTAGAAAATCAGTGAACATTAAAGGATGTCAGAAATATGTTCTTGGTCTCAAGAAGAACTAGATCTCTATTAGTCAGTTGGATAGCACATGTTGTGCAATAGAATTTGGGAAGAGTTCGTGGAAGATTGTGAAGGGTGCTATGGTGGTAGCACGTGGCACAAAATTTAGAACCCCATACACCACTTTAGGGTGTATGAACATGGCTGCTGTTGCTAAGAGTGATTCAAATTCAAGTTTATGGCACAATAGACTTGAACATACGAGCGTCAAAGGAATGAAGATGCTGGTTGTGGAAGTAGTTTTGGAAGGTTTGAAATCTATTGATATGAGTACTTGTGAGAACTGCGTTATGAGCAAACAGAAACTAGTTAGCTTCACAAAGGCTGCCAAATAATTAAAGAAAGTGCGGTTGGAAATGGTCAATACAGACGTTTGGGGACCATCTTCAATTCCATCACTTGGCGGATCAAAGTTCTACTTCACCTTTATCGATGATTTTAGTAGGAAGGTGTGGATTTATTTCTTGAAACACAAGTCAGATGTGTTTGCCACCTTCAAGAAGTGAAAAGCTGAAGTTCAAAATCAGACCGGCTTGAATATCAAATGCTTGAGGTCTGACAATGAAGGAGAGTATGACAAGTCAGAATTCAAAGCATTTTGTGAAGCTGAAGAAATTTGATTAATGAGGACAATTCTCGGTAAAGCAAGACAAAATGGATTTGCTGAAACGATGAATAAAACATTGAATGAGCGACAAAGAGTAAGAGGTTTCATTCTAGATTGCCAAAAATATTTTGGGTTGATGCTATAATACAGCAGTCTACTTGATCAATAGAGAGCCGTTAGTACCCTTGGAGTTCAAGTTGCCAGAAGAAACATGGACAAAAAAAGAACTCAAGTACTCTCACTTGAGAACTTTTGGTTGCACTGCGTATGTTCGTATTGATCCAGAGAAGAGTGACTAGCTTTACGCTGAGGCTGTGAAGCGCTATTTCATAGGCTATAGGTCTGACATGTCCGAGTACTTGTTTTGGGATGATAAGAACATAAAAGTCCTAAGACATTGTGACGTGACCTTTGATGAAAATTTCATGTACAAGAACAAAAAGAAGAAAGGAGAGAAGAAAGGTTCCAAGACAATGAAGCAATTGGGAGTTGAGGTTAAGTTGTTGAAAGATTCACCTAGTGATGTTGTAGCAAATACTCAAGAAACTCTTGAGACTATTGCTGAGGAACCAGAGGTGGAGTAAGTGACACCTGAGCAGGTGTTAAAAGATCATCTAGAATTATCGGAGTGCCAGATAGGTATTCACCTTCATTACACTATTTGTTATTGACTGATGAAGGGGAACCGGAGTCCCTTGATGATGCCTACCGTTGGAGAATACAACCAAGTGGGAGCAAGTCATGGATGATGGAATGTCTAGGCTTCATAAATGCATTGCTCTTTCATCTATTGAGGCTGAGTACGTGACAATAGTTGAAGTTGGAAAGGAGATAATATGAATGACAGACTATTTAGAAGAATTGGGAAAGAAGCAGCACAAGAATATTCTTTATACATAGTTAGAGTGTCATACAGTTGGTGAGGTACCCGGTATATCATTCAAAGACTAAACATAGAAGGCGATACCATTTCACACGCAGGTTAGTTGAAGATGATAATGTGTTTGGAGAAGATAGAGGGTGCAAAGAATCCAGCAAACATGTTGACAAAATGTGTTGATGTTGGAACATTGAGGTTGTGCAAAGCCTGGTATGGTGCACGAAAGATGGTGATAGACGTTTGAGAATGAAATTATTGGTTGGCTCGGATAGAGAGAATGATATCTATTTGTAGTAAAAAGTTGGTAGAGATATATTTGGTAGATATTTATATATAGTAGATGGTTATATCGGTTAAAGCTATATATAGTAAATCGAAACCATATATATCTCTTATCAAGTGTTTTGAACATGTACTTTCTTCTCGTTGGTTACATGCTTGAAGTCATCAATACAAATCATTATCAATACAAATCATTTATCCAATATTTCTTGTTGCATTTTCTCTCATATTTTTTATAATTTTCCCCTGTTTTTTTATATATATTTTTTTTATGTTCATTTAAATTGAGTGTGTGTTGTTGTGTGATCCTAACAATAGTTGTTGTGGTTGAGTTTCTTGAATCCACATGTGACTTGCAAGTCACCTATTGTGCTGGCAGTACCTCAATATACCAAATAATTTTTTTTGACACATAATTTGTAGAGTCATGAAGTACTCACGATCCAAGCAAACTAACTCACTAATAATCTCAAAGAATAGCTTTTCATGTGGAAGATCAAAGAGTCACAACCATAGAGTATACTATGAATTTCTAATCTCAAAGAATAGTTTTGATATGGAAGATCAGAGAGTTAAAACCACTAAGCATACTATGAATTTCAACCGATCAGACAACCTATCTCACAACCTTACTCTGATACCAAATTGTACCGCACAATTTTTTTTTTTTTTTTTTTTTTGGAGCACTCACTCTTTATTGAGACCAATAAAAAATATATTACAGCACAATCTTTAATACTACTACATTTTACCTTTCTTGGATTAGGAGAGACTAGACAATGTAGATCACAAGCATTTGTACATTTGTAATCTTTTAGCTTTACACATTTGTGATTTTCTAGATTTATTTTTAAAATATCTATCTATCTAAATCTTTATTTCTAACATAGGTAGATATCTAAATCTTAACTCTCTAAAATATCTAAATCTTTCCCAACATTTTAGAAACTGGCTCATGTAATTATTGGGTTTATTCGTGTGGGGTTAGCTGGGATCTTTTAACAAAAAAAAAAAAAAAAAAAAACACTTCGATGATAAGACTCGACCTCGGTTGGAGTTGAAGAAAAAACGTTAGAAATATTGTGCATACCATTTTGAGGTAAGTTTGCTTAACATTATGTTTTAGTTTTTATAAATAAATAAAAATTCAATTCTAATGGTTTGGTTGTGAAGTGAAACGTCCATTGTTATCAATTGTTATAAAACCAAGTTGAAGAATGATTTGACCTGGTTTTAGGTGTGGGCGGTGAGATAAAAAATGTGTGGTTTGGGTTCTGAGAATAAAGTGATCCCAATCCTTCACGAGGTGGTACTACATCTAAGTAATAAATTGATTGAAGATATTCTCCCTTATACCACGATTTAATATCAGTTTCTTTATTTAATTTATTATAGTTGGAGTAGAAGCTCTCACACCCTAATGCTATTTCTCTTCTCACACCATGATTATAAAGAAACCTTTTTGTTTGTTTATGAAAAGAACGTCTCGTGGTATGAAAATGTGGAAGTATTAGAGCGATGTACAATGGGGTATTAATTTGAGTTAAAGGAAGATGAATGAGGAAAAAAGGTTAAATCTGAGTGCATGTGAGCTCTACATGAATGAGGATAACACCTAACGGGTAACCCAAAAAGAAAGCAAATAAAAAGTTGCAATTTCCAGAATTAGGAACAGCATTACCCACAAAAATAATGTCACAAAACAGATGAAGACATAAAAATTTGGAAAAGGAAGCAAGAATTTGACACAAATTTCCCCTCTCTTCCTCATCCTAAACAACCCTACACAACTTATAGCATCTTTCTGAATCAAAACAAATGGCGATCTCGAGTTGCAAACAGTGTCGAAGTCTACCTTTGCCGAAAGATAAAAAGAAGAAGAAAAAAAAAAAGAAAAGAAAAAGAAAAATGGTTTTTTTTAGCGTCGCCATCACTGCCACTATCAGCATCTCCTTTAATAACAAAAGTGGGAGAGAGTGACCCACGCCTTCGATTCTACTGTTTTCCATGTCCTCTCACTCTGTTTTGCTTCTCTCTATCTATCATTCCTCACTCTATCTTCCTCCCCTCAGATAAAAGAAAGAGCGGTACGCCATTCTAGGCATGGACTTGGCCCACTCCTTCTCCTTCTTTGCCGCTTCCTTGTCTCCTCCATTCCCATTCCTCTCCACCTTAACCTCTACATATCAACTTCTCCCTCACCACGTCCACTCTCTAATCGATATCTAATTCAATTCAACTCTTTTCTCGTCTTCATTTTAATATTAATATATCCAACATCCGATTATGTTAACATGTATTTAAATATTTGACGTTTATAAAAAGATGTTCTAGTTGTGTTACCCTTTGTTTATTTATTGCCTGTTTTCCTTCTATGCTCCACACCTATCTTCTCTCTCACGGAAAAGGCTGTCTTTGTAATCAACAAACATGCGAAGTGGGAACTTGACTTGCATATCGTCCAGTGAGAGCTTGGAGGGTGATGAAGGAGGAGGAGGAGGAGGAGGAGGAGAAGACTCTATTTTCCTTTCTCTTTGTCCGCCAGGCCAACGCCACACAGTTTCTTCCAAACACCGACAACTCCAAAACAAACAAATTCCTGTTAGCCCTAATTCCTCTCTCCAAAACCCTAATATTCTTCATCATCAACATGCTGCTGTCACCGTCGCTATGCATATTGGTCCCCCTGCCACCGCCGCCGCCACCGAATCCAACGACGTCTCCGCTGCCCGCCCGGTTGATGGCCAGTACTGGATCCCTACGCCTGCCCAAATCCTCGTTGGTCCCACCCAGTTCTCCTGCTCTGTCTGCAGTAAAACCTTCAACAGATACAACAACATGCAGGTTATTTCCCCTCATTTTTTTTTTGTTTTTTTTTCGTCATATATTTTTAAAATCTTTCAGTTTGATTTGCTACATAGATGTATACTTTTGGTTTTTCTGTTTTTTATGAATTGAAAAAAGCATGGAGTTAAAAAAGAAAAGGTTCGTTTTAAAAAATTTAGTAGTGATTCTTGTTTCAAGTTATGATTTAAGAACAAAATGGAGTAGAAATAGAGGCAAAATTGAGACTAAAAACACGATTTGAAAGGAAAATTTGAGGTATGAGAGGCTAAATTTGACCCAAAGAAGTTGAATTTTGCAAAAACAGATGCACATGTGGGGACATGGATCACAATACAGAAAAGGGCCAGAATCATTAAGAGGATCAAAGCCAGCTTCATCAATGCTACGACTTCCATGCTATTGCTGTGCAGAAGGGTGCAAAAACAACATAGAGCATCCAAGGTCAAGGCCATTGAAAGACTTCAGGACTCTTCAGACCCATTACAAGAGAAAGCATGGAGCAAAGCCTTTCAGTTGTAGGAAATGTGGGAAGCCCTTTGCAGTCCGTGGGGATTGGAGGACACATGAGAAGAACTGTGGAAAGCTTTGGTTTTGCATTTGTGGGTCTGATTTTAAGCACAAAAGATCCCTTAAAGACCATGTTCGAGCCTTTGGAGATGGGCATGCACCTCATACCGTCCAACTTTGTGAGGTTGAAGATGATGATTGGGATGATAATGATGATCATGAACATGTAAATGGAGCTCAACCCTGGTCAATTTATCATTAATTTTAGTTTCCATGCTTCTTAATTAATCTACCATTTTGTTCCCTAATTGTTAATTAATTAATTAATTATCCTTATCCCATATATGCATGCCTTTTGATCAACTTTTACTTGCTCTTTGCTTTTTGTTCACCGTCCTTTTCCTTTTTTTTTTTCTTGAAACACTATAATTTGAATTACTCCCTTGTAATCCAAACACTATAAATTAATGTAGTAAAAAACAAAATTGGTAGTGTCAGTTCACCTGTGAATAGTTTTTTCTGTAAGAGAGAGAGAGAGAGAGAGAGAGAGAGAGAGAGAGAGGCGGACTGACAGAGAGAGAGAGGGAGAAAAGTGGGAGAAGATGAAGACAAACAGTAAAATGAAATCCAAGGTTCTATGTAATGTAATAATAATTAAAGATTAAAGGAAGAGGAAGCATAGGATTGGAAAAAAGATGGTTTGTGGATCAGATATATAGGGAGAGACAATATGGCTGACAAAAGGGTCAGGGAAGTCACAGATTGTACTGTTGATGGGTGGGTTTGCAATTCCAGAGAAAGGAGAAAAAGAGAAGAGCTGGGCAGTGGCGTCAGTGAGAGTGAGTCTAAGTAAGACTACCACTACTACTACTACTAACACTTTCAACCACAGGTTTACCCCATTGTGTCAGCCCAGAGGTTTAAAGACAGGAGAGGACCAGTGGGCTTTTAGGGTTTCTAGGGTTTTTAGGGTTTTTTAGGGTTGTTTTTAGGGCTTTTTAGGGTTTGGATTTCTATTGCTCTTTTTAGGGTTTCACCCCCAAACCCCAAAACCCCAAAACCCCAAAACCCCTTTCCTTCCTTTTCCTTTTCAGTCCAACTACAAACAGATACTACGATAGATCTTGAGACACCTGTTGTTTGCCTCTTTTAACTCTATTCACTCATAATTATGTGCATACCCTTTCCCTTCTCCCTCTCTCCTTTCCATTTCTGTCTCTTAACCTTCTCTTCTCTCCTTTTAAACTACTTTTTCCTGCTCCATGCATGCAGTTTTTTCTTTTTCACTTTTTCTGTTTTTTTTTTCTTTTTTTTTTTTTCCTTCTCCNTTTTTTTTTTTTTTTTTTTTTTTCCTTCTCCCTCTCATTATTAACATACATCTTTTCATTCATTAACTCTCTCTTTCCATCCCCTCTCTGCCTGCCTACTTATCATCATATCTATTTTGTTTCAAATTCTTACAAACAGTAGGGAAACAAAAGATATTGATTTCAATAAGTCTGTGTCAGTGTGTTAAGCTATCATTTTACTCAAACATAATCACAACCCACGTCTAAATCTTCTTTATTTCTAAATAAAGTAAAAGATTAAGAAAGTGGAAACCAAATGTAACAAGTTTAAGATCCGAGGCAAAGGGGGGATCCGTTTTTACTGACACAATGCCTTTGAGATCTGTATCTTGGAAGGCCCCCAACTAGCATTTCCTTTCTTTTTTTAACTCCAACCTTTTGTTTGTCTCCATTTGTTTGTTTGTTTTTTTATTTTAACTGTGACTTTGTGGTAAAAAGAGTGATTCCACAAACTTCTACAATTTCACTGCTTTGCAACAGATGGGGTTTCAATTTGACTGTTTTTTTCTCACCCATAGCAAGTTTAAGCCTCGGCCCATGGAGCTTGACCTTCGGGCCTTTGTTCATTTTGGCGCTTTTGAATTTACTTGACCAACGAACATGGCCCAACTCAGTGAAGGGATTGGTCTAGAGCCCTTTTGATTCGCTAAGCCCATGGAGTCCTCATAGTCCAAACATTTGACAACATTCTAAACAAGGGAGGGGTTTAGCCCACTCCCTTTGAGCTCCTCATTAGCATTCTGGCCATTTGCCATCAAGTCCTCCAGAAGTTTGCTTGACCACCTTTTTATTTTCCTGAATATAAGTCCTCATTTTGAGATTCCTTAATCAGCTCGAGTCGTTCTTCGTTGGGAGGTTTTCCCTCTACCGACCGGATTCGAGGAGAGCTTGAGTAAACCGAACACCTTCTGAAGTTCACATGATCATTCAAACTATTTATCGAGTTCCAATAAAGTTTTCATTGCTTTTATTGATGAGAGTAAACAAGTTACTTGTTGGGCTATTCCAATAATCTTCTCCTAAGACCTAGAGTAATCAACTCCGCTGTTTAGATCCTTAGTTCAATCTGTCTAAAAAAAATTTATTAAAAAAATATTTGACACCTAGAAATACGGATGTTTTAAACACGTCTCAAGTTTAAGAAGAGTTTTTCCTCATCATAGATATTCAATCTCGACGTGTGAGGAATGATGATTATGATATGTTTATACCTTGAATTAGGTATCCATGAAGTTTATATATCTCTAGTGCCATGTCATATGTTTTATTCAAGGGGTAAAATCAATATACATTTTTCATTTTTCATTGACCATCTTTTACTAAGACTACATTTGACATGTATCGAAAGTAAGATGAGTTCTCAAATAAATTTGACATTCAAGTAAGTGACTCACTCACTTAATCAACTATTATTTCATTTCTTGCTTAGTCCGATGCTTGACATGTTTGTCACACACGAGTTTAAAATCTTTGTCGATATTTAACCAATTGTCACACACGAGTTTAAAATCTTTGTCGATATTAAACCAGTGGACCTTAGCAGCAATTGGGGCACAAGGAAAGTTAAGCTTTCCCTCAACTCAACCCTCAGCTTGGTATGATAGTAATTCGTCTTTTTTTAAGTAAGATTTGACAGTATATGTTTAATTGCCAGTGGATGCCGTTACAGCAACCATTTAAATTACCAATTTGTATTCGAGATCCCTTTAATTAAGTGTCTCATACATATACTCCCTATGTCATTTACCTTGCTTTTCTTTCCTAACAAAAGAAAATGAATTAGAAATGTTATTAAATTTATCTTTAGATAATTAACTCCAATCTAATGAATTCTAGTGAAGTGAAGAGACGAACAGAGAGTTATATAAGGCAACGGACAAAAGAAAATGACATCCGAACAATTTCAAGAAGAAAGAGAAAGTCGTCGAATTTTGTCGCAGTGTAAACGAGTGAAGAAGAAGAGATCTGACGGATCTAGATCATTCATTCTAATTTCGAAATAAACTGTCTCATCAAAGAGAAGAGAGCAGAAAGTAAAAAAATAAAAAATAATGGGATTAAAATCAATCATTGTGGCATTGTTGCCAATGGTCAATCCATTTTTTATGTCACAAGTGTGTCAAACCTGAGGTTGATATTACACAAGTATATTGATAAAAATATATTAATTTTTTTTTTAAAAAAAGAAAAACTTTTTATCTTATGGTACAATTAAATTTACAGGCTTTAGCCATGCAAGGAATCATGTGCGTCGGCTTTAGCCATGCAAGGAATCATGTGCGTCTACTTTAGCCATGCAAATAATCATGTGCGTCGACTACTCCCAATAAGGAAATTATCAATTAAACCAATCCAACCTCAATAGTCCTTATTGCGGTTCAAGTGGAAGGGACATTACAAGCGCCCCCAACCCACATAGAGATGAATTGGTTATTTTCCAATAAGTTAATCAATTAACATGGTAAGGCACCCTAAATTTTTTATGGCCAAGGAAAAACATATTGGGAAAATAATGATTGCCACCTGAGAAAAATATATGTACCAAACTTTCTAGTAGATTCTTCTTTGGTCTCATATTGCACGCAATTTAAACTCTTAACATCTCAATTAATTAATGTATTTAGTGTTTCAACTCAAAGTTTTTTTTTTTCTTTTTCAATGGATAAGAATTTGGAGTCAATTTCATCTGGAAGGATATAATTTTCTTGTATAGTAAGAATTTCCACATCAATTTTTTGGGATGCAAGAATCTTACTTCGCAACACGTGATAATTACTGCACCCGATCAAAGCTCCAATACTAGTGGAATTCACGTGAGTATTTTATAAGAGATTTACATTCTCGATACATAAATAGCAACCGGAGATGATTGTGTTTTTGTAGGAGACAGTAACAAGAAAATAACTTTTACCAATGTAACTAGCGGACAAGGACATGACATTAGCATTGAAAGTTTAGGAAAGTACATCAAGGAAAAATAAGTGATAGGAGTTGTGATAACAAAATGTAAATTGATCAATACAAACAATGGTGTAAAGATCAAAACATGGCCAGATTCTGCTATTACTTTCTTAGCCTTGGCCATGCATTTTGAAGATATTAAAATGGATAACTGTCTGCAATCCTATTATTATGGACCAAGAATATTGTCCCTAGAACCAATGCAACTGAAAGGTATGTATTTGAATTATTCCTAATTCATTTTCAACTGATTTAGTTCTAAGGTTATTTTTTCTTAAAACAAATTTCATACATTTAGGTTCGATAAAAAAATTAAGATAAGCACGGTAGTTTAAAAAATATTAGAGGCACTTTCACTACTTTCGTCGTAGTCAAACTTATTTGCAGCAGTAGCATATCATACAAATGTGTGGAAGTTTCTGACATTGACCTCACTTACAATGGAAATCAAGGACTCATCAAATCTACATGTGCGAATGTTAAATCCACCATTTTTGAAAAGCAAAACCCTCAGATATGTGCTAAACCGGCTCCTAATGTTTTCCACAATGAACAAGTTCACAAAACTTTTGAAATTTGTCTTTTTCACACCATTTTTAGTTTTACATTTGAAAATCTCATTGGTTTGCTCCATGTAGTAATGCATGTAGTGGATCATTCACATTCGTTCAATAATTTGTACTTATATTTTTTAAAACAAACTAGCATCGCTCAATATGACATTGAAATATGAATACTTTTTCTGCCATGATTAAACGATTCCATCGTAATAAAAATCATTTGTAATGCAATCGATCTCTTATGGTAATAGCAGTTTGATTACGAGTTTCACCACTTAATTGTCTACATAGGCATGAATTTTGGCAGGCGGACAAACTCCTCGACACCCGTACTATGATAGACACTGTGTCGAGTAGTGCCTAACAGGATTTTGGAGATGGGAAGAACTTCTGTACAAGTTTTTATATGCATAAAATCCAATGGTTTAACTACTTGACACCACGCCACTACTCGTGGAGTGTGAACTAAAAATTGAAAGGACTCTGAAGAAACGTTATGTATGATATCCTGCAAAATTTGTTCTGCATGTACGCAGGTAGGCATCTCTCGTAAGCTAAGTAGAGTTTCTAGGACATCTTAGGCGGACTTGTGATGGTCAACGGGAGATCTAAATGATTATTCACCATTTTTTTTTTTGTCATTGTCCACAATATTTGTGAGAAAGAAAACTAGAAATCAATATCCATATCTAAATGAATGTTTAATTTTGATGAAGTTTTGAGATGGATATCCACACATCTTAGGTGACTTATTGTACCTATATATATATATATATATATATATATATATATATATATATATTTTTTTTTTTTTTTTTTTTATTTATTGCTAACTCATTAAATGTAATGACCCATCTCTAGAATTTGGAAAAAGATTTTGAATCCAGATTCATCACCTGATCATATTTTTCCGCATGCTCAGTGATATGGCAACGTTATTTACTCATCGCTTTTAAGAGAGAAGGTTGTAGCAATGGGTCTTCATCTCTAGTGTCGGTATCATACTGCGAGTTAATCGCCGTTGTCGTGGATCTCTTTGGAGGCCGAAAACACTGTGACTGGTTTTTCGCATCTCCGCCGAGGGCATTTCTTCCGGGTGACTTGGAACAGCAATTGGCTGGTGGCTGACGTTGAACACAACTCACTGTGGTAAACACTCACACTTTTTATTAACACCAATCGAGAAGAGAATACAAGACACTCTGTAGAATATTTCTACTTTTTATTGCTTTTGAATTTCTTGGATGAATAACCTAGGTAGGGTGGAGGGATATTTATATATAGCCTACGCAATCTAGACCTAACAAATCTAAATCTAGACCTAACAATCTGAATCTTTTTCCTAAACTATCTAGATCTCTTTCTCCTAAAATCTATAGGTATCTTTCCTAAAATCTCTACTAAAATAAATATACAATGGGCTCGTACAATTATTGGGCTTGATTCTATTGGGCTAGTGATGATATTTTAACACTCCCCCTCAGCACTAGTCCTCATTCGCTGCACTAGGTGACAGTGAAAACTCTCATGTTTGCCAGTATTCAGCCATTTTGTAAACAAATCTGACACTTGGTCATCTGTCTTGATCTGCTGCATCTCGATTTCTTCCTTCAAAACTTTCTCTCTAATGAAATGGTAGTGCACCTCCACATGCTTTGTTCTAGCATGAAACACTAAATTTTCTGCTAGGCGAATCACAAATTGATTGTTGCAATGAAGTGGTATTGGATACTCAATTTTCTGGTGCCAATCTTCCATCAAAAGTTTTAACCATGTATTTTCCTGAACTGCTCCAGCTGCTGCTTTGTACTCTGCTTCTTTAGTTGACAATGATATTGTTGGTTGTCTTTTGTTACACCAAAAAATTGTTCTTGAACCGAGCTTGAACACATACCCAGTGATTGATCTTAGGGTATCATGGTCTCCTGCATAGTCGACATCACTATATCTAGCTAGCTTCCAGTCTTCACTTCTTTTGTATAAACGATCGTAATTGATTGTACCTTTGACATATCTCAAGGTGTGTCGAGCCGCATCCAAATGAGGCTTCTTCGGATTTTGCATATATTGATCAATGACTCCAACTTCATTTTCGAATTTTTTCGGTTGGTCCATGTAGAACTCTCTGTTTAACTCTCCCTGCAAGAAAGCATTATTCATATCCATCTGCCATAATTTTCAATCTTTATTTACCGTAAGCATTATTCATACCCAGTGATTGATCTTCGGGTATCGTGGTCTCCTGCATAGTCGACATCACTATATCTAGCTAGCTTCCAGTATTCACTTCTTTTGTATAAACGATCGTAATTGATTGTACCTTTGACATATCTCAAGGTGGGTCGAGCCGCATCCAAATGAGGCTTCTTCGGATTTTGCATATATTGATCAATGACTCCAACTTCATTTTCGAATTTTTTCGGTTAGTCCATGTAGAACTCTCTGTTTAACTCTCCCTGCAAGAAAGCATTATTCATATCCATCTGCCATAATTTTCAATCTTTATTTACCGTAAGTACCGGAGGAACTTGTACGATAATGATCTTTGCTATTGGACTAACCATTTCATCATAGTCTAGTCCATATTCTTGAGAGAACCCTGAATCTATAATTTGAGCTTTGTATCTCACGATTGATCCATCTGGGGTACACATTATTTCGTAAGCCCACTTGCAAGAGATGAGTTTGGTATCTCTTGGTCTTGGCACTAATTCCCAAGTCTGATTTTGTTCCTAGGCTATAGTTTCTTTCTCCATCGCTTTCTGCCAAGCTAAGTTTTGTGATGCTTCTTCATATGTCTCCGGCTCATTAACTTTGTCTTCTACTGCATTGGCACACTCTGGATTTGCCTTTAGGATTATTTCTGAATGTCTGAGTTGTCGAGGTGTCATTTCATTTTCACTAGGCTCGCTTGGTTGAGTCACTTCTTGCTCACCAACACTAGTGTCACTTGAATCTTCAGGCACATCAGCACTTAAGCAAATGTGTACAATTTGCTCTCCCGTCTTTTGTGGAAGAATCTCTTCAGTTTGCTCCTCTGTGTTCTGTAAAAGAATTTCTTCAGTTTGCCCCCCTGTTCTGTAGAAGAATTTCTTCAATTTACTCAAAGCTTGGTAATACTTCCTTCTCTTAGGACCACCCCTCTTCCATTGCACCACTTTGATCGTCAATCATGAGGTTTAAGCATCTTGAATCAATGATCCAGTCATCCTCATAATCGATATGCTCTTCCATCATTGCCATGAGTGCTAGCTCGTCTTCTACTATTAGACATAGTACCTCTGCATCCCATTCATCCTCTATCTTCTTTTTGGATATTGCCACATTGCTTTCAACAAACTTTTTCTTGGACCAACAATCTCTAGACATGTGACCCTTTTTCTCGCAATTATAGCAAATACCTCCAAATCTCTTTCCTTGGAAACTCTTGTTGTCGTTCTTCTGAGCTCTCTCAGGTTGTGAAGTTCCTTGGTGGCTTCTTCTTTTGACATCATTATATCCACGTTTGGTAGACGGTCTATTATTGCTCCGACTTTCACTTGTGTAGAGTGCTTCTTCTTCACCCTTCAATGTGATGCCTCCCATTTGTTTAGCTATGACTTCTTGGCTGGCTAACAAATTTTCAAACTCTACAAGTGATAGTTGAGTGGGCCATCCTTGTACAGCAGTAATGAAGCTTCGATATTTTGGTCGCAATCCGTGGATTATAATCCTCTTCATTCGGGATTCTACAATAGCAGACTTTGGGTTTAGTTCAGTTATCTCCCGACAGATCAACTTGACCTTGTGGAAGTATTGAGCAATCGTCATGTCACGTTGTGAAATTGACAACAACTCATCTCTAGAAGTTGTAGCCTCGTATTGTTCTTCTTTGAGAACAACATCACGAACGTGTCCCATGCTTCTTTCGGTGTCTAGTAATCCTAAATATGTTCTAATATCTCTTCTCCGATTGTGGTCTTCAAGGCAAATATTGCTTTGCCTACTTTGACTCTCCATTTGCGCAAAGCTCCGTTAGAATCCTCCTCTGGCGACGTAGTTTCACACCCGCCAACGATCTCCCAAAGATCCTGTCCTTGTAAATAGGACATCATGCATGTTGCCCACGTGTTGTAGTTGTTGTTGTTGAGTTTCTTGATTCCTCCAACGATTTGGAAATCACCCATCGTGTTGGCCATACCTCAGTAATACCAAACAAGCTCTTTCGAAACAAGACTTGGAGAGTCACAGACTACTCACGACACAAAAGAAACTCACTCACTACTAATATCAAGAAATCGTTTCTGATGTGGAAGATCAGACAAAGCTGCAACCACAAAGCATACTAAGAATTCCAAGAGATCAGATAACCTACACTAACCTCGCTCTGATACCAAATGTTGAACACAACTCACTGTGGTAAACACTCGTACTCTTTATTAACACCAATCGAGAAGAGAATACAAGACACTCTGTAGAATACTTCTGCTTTTTATTGTTTTTGGATTTCTTGGATGAATAACCTAGGTAGGGTGGAGGGGTATTTATACTAGAGCCCGATCTAGACCTAACAAATCTAAATCTAGACCTAACAATATCTCTTTCCTAAACTATCTAGATCTCTTTCTCCTAAAATCTATAGGCATCTTTCCTAAAATCTCTACTAAAATAAATATACAATGGGCTTGTACAATTATTGGGCTTGACTCTATCAAGCTAGTGATGATATTTCAACAGTTAATGCTCTCAGTGTTGAAGATTGTTCGGAAATGATCATAGATTTATAACTAAAGAATACATTTTCATTAACATGACTTCTTGTGGGAGCTCGAAGCAAACCCATGATATTATGTTCAAAGTGGACAAATATCATATAACATTGTAGAGATCGTGATTAGTAACATGGAATCAGACTATGAACTTAACTTAGCTATGTCCAACAAAAAGTTGTAAGCCTAAAAATCGTAGTCAAAAGTGTCAAAACAAATTGTGTATTTTATTCAAGGTCTCCAAAGAAAGAAGTCGAGTCTCGATTAAAGGGAGTTTCTTTTAGAATTCCATAGGCTTCCGGGGAGGCTCTTGGTGTATTTTGTTTGAGGGAAGGCTCTATGATCATAGGTAATCTATAGGCTTCAAAGGTGGCTCTATGTGGTGTACTTAATGAGAGGGGAGACTCTATGATCATGGGTTTATAAGTAAGAAAGTCAAAACAAAGTCACAAGAGTTTATGCTCTAGACAATATAATACTACGGTAGACAATATCGTAGCTTTATTTCAATTCATAAATTTTTAAAACCAAATCTCTTCATACCACCCAATAATCATAAGGCTTTTCCCCAGTTGCGAGGATCATAATTGCAAACAACAAACTGAGAATTCGCTTTACAGGGCACTCTAGCACATCCAAGCCGCACCGAGCTCCGCCACACCATCTGAGTGTAGTGCCCACATTCACCACCCACGCATTTATTCGAAGCATGATCATACAGCGGCTTCTCGTTCGCCCACAGCTTCACCGCATCCTTCCCGGTGAACTCAGGGGTAGTAGCCTGCGGCTATGTTTTCCTCGTACGATCCGATTGAGTGAATCATGGTGTAGTCAACCTTTCTTTTTTTCGCATAGGCTTGAGCGTATGCGGCCACGGTGTTGCTCCATTGCATGGGGTCGACGCCGACCTGGGCTCGAGCTCGATTGTGAAGCGCGAGGTAGTCACTGGGGGCGTTTTGAGCGTTGGTTAGGGCGAGGAGGAAAATGGAAGTGACCATGAAAGCGGCCATGATTGGAAGGGTTTAAGTCCACATAATTCCGATGAGAGATGAGATGAAGATTGAGAATGAGGGAATGATTTAAACAGAGATGGAAAACTTTATATGGAATGTGACGTGGAAAACCATGAATTATGAACTAATTATGCCATGTTTGGGAATTCAAAGAGAATAAATTCATTCTCGCTTCCATGTTTAATAACGGGCTAGATTTTCGTTTGGATTAGGTTCAAATAAATGAAAATTTAATAGATTTAGCTGGTTTATGAATTTTTTTTGGGATTAATGAAACTTAATCCACGTGATTAACTCAAGTATGGTTGTAACGGGAAAGAGTAATGTACGGCTTCAAGTTAATGGATCATCCTCATGATGTCTGCTACTTGATTTTGTGGATGAATGTGAACCATCCTAACAACTCCTCTATCTAGAGCTTTTGGCGGCTTTTATGTAATGAATAGGATCACTTCCTGCAGACAAGGCTAGATATGTAATATTTTCATCCTCAGAAAAACCTTCACCACTCTAATAATCATCCATCCATCTTTGTGGCCTTCTAATTCTTCTTTCCGCATTAGCAAATGAGTGTTCTTGTGCTGACTCACATGAATCATCATTGTATAGTTCATCCTCCGAGCTGTCAACTTCATTGCAGAAATCATTACTCAATTCTAGATCAACTGTAACTTCTTCTTGATAGGTTTTATGTCAATCTCAGTCATTTTCTTCCTCAAGCTTCACTTCTTTTGAGGGAGCTTTAAGGACCGACAATCCTTGCACCATGTCTTTCTCTTGAAGTGTCTTCAGTCCTCCATAACTTAGATGCCCATTTCGACAATGCCATCTACTTGCGGGATCTTCTGTAATAGCATTGAAGCAAGATTGTTTCTTTGGTAGAAATTGAACTAATAGAAAAAAAAAAACATTCTATTTGATGTGATTGAAGTATCTATAATCATCCTCTGATGATAGATCCTACATCCTCCTTTTTGTATAAGAAATGCAAGATCTTTTTCTTGCAGTTGTCTGATACTCAGCAAGTTGTCCTATGGTACATAAAATACTTTGGTGATTACTTGCAAAATCTCATTTACTTTAAACTTTACATTTCCTTTGCCTATCACCGTCATGCTTGAGTTGTCACTCAGTTTCACAGTTTGTCGAAACTTCTCATCAATATGATAGAAAAGTTCTTTCTTTCCACAGTTGTGATTGCTACATCCGTAGTCAAGAAACCAATGTACTTCTTTTCAGCTTTCTTCTCATCTACATAGGCCACTAATAGCATCTCTTCATTGGTTTTTGCATAATTTACTCTGACATTCTCCCTTTCAAGACACTCATATTGGTAATGTCCTAATCTACGGAAATTGTAACATTCCATAGTTGATTTGTCAAAGCTTTGTCGACCTCTTCCTCTACCTCATCCTCAAAAGCGACCACGTCCTCTTCTTCGGCTGCCAAATCTTCCATCACGTGTGACTTTTAGAGCTTGTTCTTCCTCACAAACATGGTTATTCATGTATTGCTCATGCACTAAGAGACTACTTTGTAACTCATCAATGGATAAGGAATCCAAATCATTAGACTCCCCAATCAAGAGAACGACATATTCAAACTTAGAAGTCATAGATTGTAAGGACCGAGCTAACTCGATGACTCTAAAAGATGGGTAAATTTTTCATGAAATAAACCAAAAGAATTTAAAACATTATATTTACATTATATCAAAATAAAGTTTGTACATAAGTATTTAAAACACAACATACTAGTTAAAACACAAAATAAGGAACGGACACAAAACATTTTAATACAACAGGGTTGAGAACGATGGTTGAGGTTAGTCTATGGCACCTGCTCCAGAGTCTGCTCCCGACCTCTACCAGCTCCTTATTACCTAAAAAAAATGAATAATAAGGAATGAGTACAAAGACTCGACTCAGTAATTAGTCCACTGTAGGCTCTTAATCGTGTCCTTGATATTGTGGGTACCACATTCTTTGTTCTTGTCTTGTTCTTGTTCTTGTTCTTATTCTTGTTCTTATTCTTGTTGTAAGTACATAGGCCCTTTAATTCTTGTTCTTGACTTGGGGTTCTTATCATGATCTATCATGAGAACCTTGATCCCTGGATTCTAAAACCTTGGTTATCCTTCAAGGGCCTTAGTATCATGGTTCTTGGTTCTTGTCCTTAGAACTAAGATCTTGATCCATGTTCTAGACCTTGATTTTTCTCTTATTCTTGGTACTTTCTTGGTGTTAGATAAAAGTCTGAGGTTTCCTTATTTAGGTTTTACACGTTTTTACTCTGTTGAAATATTTTCTTTTGACCATTTGACAAACACGTCAAATGGATTACGATTTTTTAGGTTTGGAGGGGAGTGGCACAGATTTAGTTGGCCACTTGGGCCATTTTTAGGAGAAGATAATTTTTTAAATAATTGAATCTGATGAGAAACAAAACAACGGCTTTTCTCAGCAAATCAAATCTCAAATTTCTCTTTTTCTTTTTATTTTCTGTTTTCATTTTCTTCCGACAAATTTCCTTCGGCCGTTTTCTTATCTGTCGACGATTTCCTCTCAATTGTCAAAAGTCAGTATCAAAGACTGGTTTAATCCACCGATGGTATAACATTGCAAAGAAGCCAACTTTATCAAAAGCCAATTTGAATAGCTCAAGTGGTTAAAATGTCGACCTATAACAATACACAGGTCTCTGCAAAAATACACACATTTGTGGGGTCCATCCTGAGCAGGCTCGTTTACTCCTCCACGTCGACACCGGGTGCCGGCTTCTCCATTAACCGTACATCATCTCTAAGTGTTCGGCTGCGTTGCATACATGAAAGGGGAGGCTGAAGCAGAATGGGGTAGTTGAAACATCGAAATCAGACAATCGTCGAGACAGCAAGGCCATTGTTGATGACACGGTCGAGATGCCTAGCAGGTTCTAGGGAGAAGCAGTAATGACCACCTTCGTCGAAGCTTCTTGGACAACAACCCTGACAAGGTATTGCGCGAAACATATGACCCATCTGGTGGGCCACCACATGGACGTGAAATCTGCGTTCCTCAACGGAGAGCTGAAGAAGACCGTCTTCTACGTCCAAAAGCAAGGAAGTGGTCTTCGAGGAAGTATTCGTAACGAAGAGGGAGAAGTTGTGAAACACATGGCTCGTCTGGTGGGGGCCACCACATGGACGTGAAATCTGCGTTCCTCAACGGAGAGCTGAAGAAGACCGTCTTCTACGTCCAAAAGCAAGGAAGTGGTCTTCGAGGAAGTATTCGTAACGAAGAGGGAGAAGTTGTGAAACACATGGCTCGTCTGGTGGGCCACCACATGGATGTGAAATCTACGTTCCTGAACGGAGAGCTAAAGGAGACTGTTTATGTCTGACAACCACCGGGCTTCTGGATTCCCTGAATACCTAAAATAGAGATGATCATAGAAAATGTGAAATATTTGATAGGATCCGTTTTGGGAACGTAGAATGTCAGAGAAATTCAAATATCATAACTCCAATACGTCAGGAACCCTATGTCATTGACAACCCCTAATAGAGGGCAGATCCAGCAAATTGAGGAGCTCCTTGCATCCCCAATCTATGGTTTTTGGCTTCTCACTTGACTTGAAAATGAACCAACATTCCCATCGTTCTTGTTTCCTTTGTTCAAAATCAAATATGTAGAAACTTAGGGTTCCCCTATTTGAAATAAGCACACACCACCTCACTACACCTAAGCATTGCATGCATTTGCATCTTGCATATAGTCCTGAAATAGGAAAATTCGGTGGGAAGTATTGATTGCTACGGGCCAGGGAGCCGAGTCATTCCATCCAAAAATCCCACCACCAGCTCCATGAAGTTGTGAAACACATGGCCCGTCTGGTGGGCCACCACATGGACATGAAATCTGTGTTCCTCAACGGAGAGCTGAAGGAGATCGTCTGGTGGGCCATGGACGTGAAATCTGCGTTTCTCAACGGAGAGCTGAAGGAGACCGTCTATGTCCGACAACCACTAGGCTTCCTGGACAACGTCAACCCTGACAAGGTATTGCGCCTGCACAAGACACTCTATGGGCTTTGGCAAGCACCACGAGGTGGAGTTCCTCAATAGAGAGCTGAAGGAGACCGTCTACTACGTCCAGAAGCAAGGAAGTGGACTTGAAGAGGTATTCATAATGAAGAGGGAGAAGTTGTGAAACACGACCCCTCTGGTGGCGAAGGGCTACGTCTAGAAGCAAGGAACTGGACTTCGAAGAGGTATTCATGCTAGTGGCAAGGTTGGAATCTGTCTGCCTATTGCTGGCAATCACGGCACATCATTTCTGGGAGGTCTACCACATGGACGTGAAATCTGCGTTCCTCAACAGAGAGCTGAAGGAGACCGTCTATGTCCAACAACCACCGAGCTTCCTGGACAACGACAACAAAGAAGCTATTGGACACAACTAGGCTTGTGGACAGTAACCCTATAAGGACGCCAATGGAAGCCCCACTATAATGGCAGTCGACTCCACCAATTGCCGCAGCATTGTCGGGAGCCTGCGCTAGTAAACACACGCCCTGATCTTGCTTATTCCATTGGATACATGAGTAGATTTATGGAAGCACCTAGGGAGAAACATCTTGTTGCTGTCAAGTGCATCCTGTGCTATGTGGCCGAAACCAGAGGTTGGGGTGTGAGATACTGCGCAAGGAGAGGAAAGAAGAAGCTTGAGCTAGTCGGCTACAGTGATAGTGACATGGCCGGTGACGTTGATAATCGTAAGAGCACCAGATGGATGATTTACTTCCTCTCAGGCGGCGCAATCTACTGGCAATCAACTAAGCAAAAGGTAGTTGCTTTATCTTCTTTTGAAGTAGAGTACATTGCCGCTTCAACGGTAGCAACACAGGGGGTCTGGCTTGCGCGACTGATGGAAGAACTCATCGAAAAAGAAGGTTATCCACCAATGCTTTATGTGGACAACAAAGCTACGATCTCCCTCATCAAAAATTTAGCTTTA